TGGAGAGTTAATTGCAATGAATTAGACTCTTTGGGAAAGCAGAAGCTAATAATGAAAGCTAAAAATATCCATGAAAAACGTATGCCAGGATGATTCAGGACAGTAAGAAATGACATCATTATTTTGTGTATGGGGCCCTGAAGGACTCTGGCACTACCCTGTGGGCAGCACAGCTGCTGGATGGACCCCTGGTTTGCACATTGCTGCCTTATCTTCTGGCCCCGGCTCCTTCCCACCCTGACTGGCACCCTGGTAGCTGTAACCACAGGAAATACACTTCAAGTGGAACCTTAAAGCTAAGAGAAGGGAGTTTTTCAAGCCATTGCTTCTAAACTTCCTCCCCAAATCTTTCAGTACCAAGAACCACAAAAAGACCTCCCAGTCACTTGCTACCCACTGCTCTCTGATAGTTGCTGCCAAGTTGGTTTGTTTCTTTTGGAAACAAAATAGGTGCAGTAAGAACTGCTGATAAATATAAAGGGGCTTGAAAGGATGAAGGTAAAGAGACTGTGGCTGAAAGGGAGAATTCAGAATATATGCTTATTGGAAGTTAAGTATTTTTCCCACATGATACTTGGAGTGCTGCCTGATCTTTCAGTATTAATAGTCTTGTGTCTTCCTTGCTATCTTTGAAAAATAAATTGATACCTTCTCACTTCAAGGTCAGTAGAAAACAGCAATGTTTTGCAAGACAATGTTTTGATGAACACACATATTTATTATTATTTTTTAATTAATGTTAACTGATGTCATGTTATAAAGCTAACAGCTTGACAGTCATCAGAAAACTCTTTCTCATCACTCATGGTAAGGGAGCAGAACGACACATCAAATTTACCAATCCAAGGCTATAAGTTGTCATCAGGAGTCTGTTCAGCACAACACACACAGCCATTACATCTAGATGTGCTGCCAAATGTCAAAGAAGGAAAGTAAGAAAATTTGCCTTTTTACACATGGTTAATCTAAATCTCTAAATTGGAAGTTGCCGTGAAAATTACTCTGGGAGTATCTAATTGAAAACATTTTTAATTTGAAGTCTCAAAAAAAAAAAAAGCCATGGCTGCAACAAAGTATGGTAATACAAATGAAAGCATATCTGGCAGTCATTCAAAACACTGCCTTCTTCTATGCTGTGAAAAGAAAAATCACTCCCCAGTGGAAATTCACCATTTTCACAGAAGTAAAATTACTCATCTCTGTAAAAATGGGCTTTCATCATTTGCATTAAATGTAATTAAATAATGTCATAAAATTGCTGCAGTAACTAGTGTATCTCTGCATGCTACTTGGCTCCAGAAATGCTCAGTATGTATTTGCCATCCAGACTGAAAAGAACTGTACTCATAGCAGAATTTTGCAATGTCATCTCAGGCTAAAATACTTGTTCCAAGTTTCCAGCAAACTTCACAAAATAATTTGTGTAGAGATATATGAGAACAAACCAGCAGCAGTGACTGTGGGTCATTACAGAATGACAAGCAGAATTTAATAAAAACTTTAAACAAACAGGTAGTAGTATGTCCTTATGAAGGACACTGAATCAAAAATAAACAAGGATGCAAGAAAGAGAAGACAAAGCAATTAGTCAGTCATCTCTCTTACACAAAAGGATTAAATTTCTTCCAGGGAAAAAATTACTTTGTTGTGTTTTACATACGATGTAAACTTAACAGCAATGCAAACTTGTTATTGGTCCTTATTTTGCTGTTTATAGTGATGAAATAGTGATGAAGCCATATTTGGTACTGCAAGAGGCAGAGTCGTAATTTGTAATAGCAACAACTGGAGCTAAATGTTATGGAAGTTAATGAGAGGATACCTACTGCTTGAAATGGCAGCCAGATAATTTAGAGTCTAACCTACAAGTGTGGTCCCAAAACTATACCTCACAATGCTGCCACTATACTACTTCTACTACTGTGCCAACGCTCCTAGATGCACAAATCGTAGAACACAAGGTTCTGTTCCCATGAACCATATCTCTATAATTCTTTCCAAGTAACAAAAGCAATTTCCTGCATGCTTGGTCGTACCTTATCTACAGATGCTGACAGGCAAGCACTGCCTTCCCACTGGCTCATACCTGAGTTCAAACTAACCACTCAATGACCAGAGTGCCAAGGATTTATTCTGTCTTGGGTTTGCCTGTTCAACCTAATTAATTGCAGTTCCCACAGAAAACTAATAACACCAAAAGTATTTGTGTTAATTAGGCATTATGCCAACAACCAAAAGGTTTTTAAAAGGTATACTTCATGTAAGTCATTTACAGGCTACTGAACCCAAAAACGTGAAACATGGGCAGGGATTAAGAAATGATCTGGAGACCTCTGCATGGTGAATTTTGCTGAGCCACTTACTCAGTGGATGGGCACCCATCTCCTTAGAAGTCTTGAATAATTGCTAGTAACACTTGGGAGGGAAAAAAGATACCGCTTCATCCTACCAATGTGCCCTCTTGCTGCTTTGAAGGTACCTAGAAAAAAGTATGGTGATCCTGGCAATACTCCTCTCTACTCTGTGGGGACAAGCTTTCAGCAGAGCCATTTCAGTATTTATTAAACTAACAAAAAAGAAACTCAGAAGAGCCTTGTACCTGCTCAGCTTCATACTGAATTAAACTGATCCCAGAATCTTCAATCCTGAGCCACATAAGTGTAGGAAAGACACAACTCTCTTATCCTCTTTATGAGCTGCTCCAGCTGAACTCAGTCACAGCCCTTTATTAATACCCTATTGCATCTCAGATTTATCTGCAGTTCCCTTCAGCTCCAAGCTGGATAAAGCAAAATATACCTGCAGCCACAGGACTGGCAGCAATCACCCTGCAACTCCCTGCAGAGGTTCAAAAGCAGCCAAGGGCTCCTTTATGTGGAAAAATCTATGATCAGCTTAACAGTGAAATATGCTGTTCCATTATATCTACCTACAAATAGCTCACCAGGCTGATGTCCTATTCCAGAACAAAAGTGACTTTGACTTTTTACTCCACACTCTGATAATTATTCTGGAAAGAAATGAGTTTTTATTCCAGAGTAGAGTTGCCCATCAGGGAACCATTACAGAACAGATAACTGCATCAGAATAAACTATGGCAGTGCTTGAAAGAAAATTTTCCAGTGCAGAAAGTCTAACATCTAAGAATTGCTGAGATGTTATCTTTGACCTACTTTGCTCAAAGTACCACAGAGATATCTCCACACAGGCATCTAATTATTTGTTGAAATCAAGGAGCACTTTTGTGCAACACAGGATTAGTACATGGAAAAAAAGAGAGAAGGGGAGGGTGATAGGTGGAAAGAAGTGTTCTTTTAGTAGCATTTGCAATACAGGAATTGATTTCACAAACATGCTCATCCCAGCAATGTAGTTCATTCAGTAGACCCTCAACTTCCATCAAAGAGTCATTCTTAATTTTAAATCAGGATGCCCATAACAGAAACAAATGAACGGAAAAGAGCAGAATAGTTCTTTAGAAACAGCCCAGCTGTCTCATGCATCTGACACTCCCACATACAAATGTTTTCATTGAAAGGGAAAGTAGTGCCAACCCTGAAGCTGAATACCATCATTAAAAATGGCCATCAAAATCTAACTATGTACCATGCAAACAATGTAACCTAAGTCACTAAGTATATTCCCAGAGAAAACCACACCAAAAAATGACACTTCTGGAATTCTTACAATATGATCAAAAGCAGTGTTCATAACAAAGGACTTCATAAGGCAATAAAACATATTACTAGGTAATTAAATTGTCCTAAATTGGCTTTTGCTAACTGCAAAGTTTATTACAAGGACAGTTGTTCCCAGGGATTAACAAACTCTGGGTTAAATATGAGAAACAGGACTATATTTTTTTGCTTCTCTGAAACCTTGTGAAATCTTGAAAGTGTTTGAGAGACAAATTTTGAACAAACTCATTTAGGGATACTGGCTGGTTTGGTTTTTTTTTTTCCCCAGAAGCAGATTCACAAAGGCATCTTAGGTTTTCTGTTTTAGATGTTAAATCTTAAGTATTCTGCCACCTAGTAGCATTCCCAACCTGAAAACAGCCAACTGAATTCCCGATACCAGTAGATTTCAGCTTATGTCCTCTACTCTCTTTTGTCCTTGTACCATGTGTAGCACATGCCCATCAGTACTCAGGGAAGGAAGACTTTTGCTACTGAGGCTTATGAATCAAACTTGACTTAACAAACTGCAAAATAAGAGAATATGAAAACTACTGGGTTTTTGTAACTATTGGAGTTGTTAGAACCTGGAACAAGATCTACACAAGACACAATATTGAACAAGGGTTACCCAAGCCTTCCTCTTAGAATCTTGAGAGAAAGTATGCACCTACCCTCATTAAAGGGTCAACAAACATGGGCTATAAGAGCAAAGAAGTAATAACTTATTTCCTTAGGATTTATTTCTGATTATTAAATTATTTTACATCTAACAGAACAGAAATGGCATTATAATTTTTCCCTGTGGCTGTGATACCTGAAGTATCTCTCTTCCTTCTGGATGGTACAAGCTTGAAACATTGTCCTCTACTTACCTTTTTAACAAATCTTACAGAAAGACAATATCTTTCAAATTATTCTATTCAAACTTATATGAAATTAGTCAACATGTTTCAGTTTTTTCATTCACGCTGTCAGTCTTAAGGAAAATTATGTACAGAGGAACACACAGAGTAGAACAGCATAAGCTCTACTTTATTAAGAACCAAGGCTGAGACACTTGAATATTCATGGCAGAAGGAGCAAGCCCCTTCTTCCCAAAGCACTAAAATGGCAGCTAGTTACCTCACTCCCTCCTCTTGGGCCAGTATTGCAAGCTCTGACATTTTTATCCCCAAACATAAGTGAAGGATATAGTTTGTTCACTAAAAAAATAAGAAAAAAACCCCCACAACCTCTGTTCTTATTAGCATAAATTTAACACGGAGAGCAAAATACTAGCACTTGCAGTAAATATGATTGCAATAGATCATGTTCATATACCCTGATATATGGTGCTGCTGTTGCTGTTAAGATACGATTCAACCAGTGGTGCTTGTTCTTCCGAGTGTTTCATTCTGCGTGTTCTGGCGCGACTGTCCACATTGGACTGAACCATTAGTGGCTCCTGGCGCTTTTTTTTCTGCTTCTGTTCTAGCAGGGCTCGCTGAGGAAAATACAAAGAAAAGCACCTGTTAATGGACTCAAAACAGCAGCTATCTGTGATGAAAAGCAACAGGTATCTTTACACTTTCACCAGTTTCCCAGTGGCTGCATTTGGTAAGTGGGATATTGGGATATCAGGTTATAGGCAATCTTTCAGAAAAAAAAAGGTAACCAACCCACTGCTAAAATACTGTCTGCTGAAAGCAGCAAATAATTAAAATAGATCTTCCTAAGCAGTCTACCAGCTGTCAGAGCTTGCTTGGAAATAACCCTTGGGAAAACAACAGTGTGTGAGTACTGGCTGTGGAGCTGTGAAGCAATGGGATGGTAAGCAAGGGCATGAGGCAGAAATGCCAGTTTACATCTCTGCAAATTAAAAGCAGGTAATCTGCAAGCTAGATTTGAGTGACAAAGCTGGACATGAGCCTAATTTAACAACTATACAAGATGAACTTTAATTAAACACTTGAATTTCTCAGCTACTGCTGATGAAAACCAAAACCTTCAGCACCCAATGCATCACGGGCACCTTTCAGCCCTCTTCCACAACCTCTGAGAACTGAACTGTTGTTTTTATTTATCCCTTATCTTACCATTTCCCTGTGAGGTTTGGTTTTTTTTTTGCTTTTAGATAGAAAATGGACTAAACAGAAGAACAAGAACGGAAAGTGGACACTTTCAGCTCCATAAATTGTACAGAACACCACAACACGACTTCAAAACAACCAGAATCTAGTACAGGATCATGGCATAAATAGAAAGTATTTTAATTTGAAAATGAGATGCTGGTAGATGTGCAAGCTGATAAAACAATGGGAAAAGAAATGTATAAATAAAATAAAAATAAACACACAAGGTGTAACTATAAACATGATAAAGTTTTGTGAAAAGGAAACCACAGAAAAAAATCAAAAGAAAGGTGGAAACTACAAACCCCATTAAAACTTGATGGCAAAATTCCTTAAGATTTTACTTGAGAGATTCTGAATAATTTTCTTGTGTAAGTCATGTAGGAATACAGAGGCAAAATAGGCAACATAGCACACAGTGCCACTAGTTTATAGCCACAGGGGCTAAAGCCATGGAACCAAAAGGAGTGTATATAAAACATTGTGGTAAACCTCTGTTGGCTGGCATGTCTGCCAGAACCTCTTGTCCTTTTCTGGACCATCCAATGGGTAACAAACACATTCTAAGTCAGCTCAAAACAAGTCCAAGGCACTGGAAATAAGAACCACTCAAACCACAGTCATAAGAAAAAATTTAAGGAAGTTAGACTTCTAAGTAAGCTTGAACCTCCAAAGACCTCTCTTCTGTGTCCCCTAATCAGAGGATACACTTTTTCTATCAATTACCAGATATGTGTCAGCTATTCTGTTACTCTAAGATCTAGACTTCAAAGAGCAAGTACATCCCCTCCAAAATCTTACCTGTCTGTCAAGCTTCTGCTGACGCAGGCTGCTCCCCTCATCATCCAGAACACTGCAAAGACAAAGAGTATGTAACTGGAACAAATTTATCACTCAACACCTAACAGCAATCACTGGAGCAAACTCTTGCAGGAGTTATTCATAAAAAACTCCCACTGTGATGTGTGGAAGTTTGCCTGCCCTAACCTGCAAAAGCTGGCTCAAGAGAATTTAAGTGCAGATCATGAAAAACTGACAGACTCTGGTTCACATAAATGTCAGTAAAAGATATATTCAACCAGTTCACAAAGAAATGCAAAATCCACAGTCTGTACCTTGTTTTCTTCTCCACTGTCTTCTAATGCAAAATGTCAATGTATACAGCAACAGGGGTTGATTGAAAATTTGCATATAAAGCATCTAAAAAGGAGTGTAAGAGAGCTGCTTAGCAACTCAGCAGAATTTAAAATTACATTAGGAAAATCAACTGTCTAATCTTTTGCACACTAAAAATCAGAATTTATTCCTGAACATCTGAAAAGCCACACTGATTGCCATGCCCTTCAACTTTTAGAGACTGGCGAGACAAACAATATTGTGCTCTGCAATATTTCTTTCTGCTAATTGTTGCTGGTTGGGAGATTAGCTCCTGCAAATTCAATCATTTTAATTAATTAGATATTAGAAATTAATGGCATTGAAATCAGAAAACTATTTTTGTGAAGTATTTTATTGAACTACTAACTAGACTTTATTTTTATGGAGAACAAAGGTCTCTATTATAAGAACATTATAGTTAAACATTGAACGTAGCTAATTAAAATCTTTTAAACCATAATATATAATCTACAAGGCAAACAGACAGAACAAAGAAAAAAAAAAAAAGCCTCTTACAAGTTAGAATTAATTTTCTCTTACATCACATTTTTTTCTAAGAGCAGTCCCTTTTTTATAATCTCTCTTAACAATCAAAAACAACGACAAAATAAATGCAGGACAAACAAACCTGGATTCCGACCTACATATAATCAAATTGTATTGCAATGGAAATTTCATTAAAAATGTAAAAGTGTATTAATATATACACTTTAGGAGACAGTAAAATTATAGTAGAGTTAGATAGAATAGCTAACAAAGGTATGCAGAATGCCACCTTTCCAATGCCAGAATTACCAAAGACCTATAATTAGGCATTATTGGCAGTATCATCCTTTTATAATTTTTATTCAGATTATATATTACAAAAGGCTGATGTTCCACAGAATGTAATTGTGCTGTACAAGTACCTTAGGTATGAAATTGCAGTCTCTTGCAGAGGTAATGCATTACTCAGAGGCCACAAAAAAATTTAAAGACAAAAATCTCTCACACTCACAAGAATGTTCTGCTTTACAAGTATTCTGCATTTGATACATTACAGGAACAAGTTATAAAAAGAAGATACATCCTCCACGGCAGACAGAATCAGGTTTTTTTTCAACAGTGTTTCACTAAAACTGTAATACTTTCAGCTGCACTGCTAAAAAGTAAAACTACCCAAATGGATATCTTTGGCCAAACAGTTGGGAAAAATGCCTAAGTATAAAGTTTCAGGCTTAATGGCCTGAAAAAATCCTTCTCGTTTAAGACAATGCTTGAAAAAAGCCCAAACCATGTAATGATGCTAATGATGACCATGCAGAACTGTGGAGGCAGCAATGCGTATACAGCTGTAATACCCAGAGAGGTCAAGAGCCAGTATTGCTTCACTCCACCAGGCATTTGCAGAGCTAAGGAGAAAACTGATCTCATCTTCTGCTTTATAAATCAGACTATGCTGATTCCACCAGATATGTTAAACGAGCTATATATACGCACCTCACACATTCCCATAAATCACCAGTTCAGTAATTATCTTTATGTGAATATAATAGCTTTGAGTATTACACTGGACTGGCTGTAATTCTAAATTCTGTATCACAGACCAGGTGTCTAAGCCCTCTGGTCAACTCCAGCTTCCTTTGCTTTCCCATTGCACCATATCCTGGCATAACACACTGCACAGAATAAGGGAGCAGGGAAATGTCCTCAGTCGGGTTCTAAATCTTACCCTGGGAAGCCACAACAAGCCAAATTCAGGTTCAAGTAAATAAGCACAGATTCCTCAGGTCTCTTTATGCCCAACTTTACCACAGTAAACCTGGCAGTCCAAGTAAACTTGACAGCAAATGCCAGTCTGAGGAAGTGGATGGTCTGCATTGATTCAGAATTCCACAAATGCAAAGCAACTATCAGACATATCCAAAGAACTGCCAAAAAAATAAACCTCCACCCCAAAACTGTGAATGCTCTAACACTAGAACACCTCTCCATATCGTCCTTCTACTGCAAGATGTAGTTTTTAAACGCAATCAAAGCTGACACCAAAAGCAGCATGCCTCAAAAACCAGCTGACAAGCTTGTCTGGAACTTCCAGATCCTTCATTTTCTCACTTTGTATTATATAAAGTTCTGGGTTGTGGTCACAATCCTTTTGTAAATATGCATTAACTACAAGCCTTGAATTATTTAAAGGCATAACATTCAACAACTAAAATTGAACTCCAGCTTTCTTCAGTGATCCAGAGGTTCAGTAGAATACAGTTCTTTCAACAATACTTGCACCCTCCAGATTACTCCCACCAGATACATCACTCTTTTGAATCCTCCACACTGTAAAAAAGGCCTTAAAAGTAATCTCCTTACCACGAACTCATGTCTATTTTAACTGTTATTCCACCCCAGTATCAGTGAAAAGCTGCAGCTCTGTCCTTTCTTGATGCCTAACTATTCATTATGCAAGTCCAAATAAAAAGAGGATTCCATTTAAGCTACACATTCTGCAGGAATAGCAGAGCGTTCTAGTTCAATACTGTGTACTGTGTATTTTCTACAGGACCAGTGGACCTTGAAGTTGCTGGTTAGCAAGCAGTATTTCACATTCCCTGATTTTCAACAGAAGAACTCTCCTGAGACTGGGCAACTCTCAGAGGCTGCCATCAAGAGACATCAGGATAAATAAATAAACTAACGGGTGGGTGAAAGACTAAGTATAAAACCAAAAATATAAGCTTTGTTTCCATAGCAATTACATCAGGCTCTCACTCTTGCTGCTTTTAAAAACATCTGCAGCAATACCCTGAGATGCAAGTGTGTAACCACCACTGAGCCTTCTCACACTTCAGTGAAGCCTTGCAGAAAGATTTAGCAGATCTTGCTACAGCATCTGGCAGTCCATGCACTCTGACAGATGCTCCAAGGTCCAAGAGCTGAAATTCAGAGAACCTATCCTATTCCTTCTTTAAAAATACAGAACTCTAGGAGCAGAAGCTTAACCTTTGCCTCACCTGGTCTTTGAAAAGAAATCAATTGCTCTTTTCACTGGAAGAGTTGTGCATGTGGTGCATGTGGTGAGAACCCAGCTTATCCTGCCCAGTTTCAGAAATGGCCATGGTTTTGTTGCTCAGTGGCCCAAATAACTGGGATGGTCAGAGATTAAAGGCTATGGATAGTGGAAAAACTAGGG